GGGGGGGGGGGGCTGTGGATAAGGTTTTGGGCAGTCAGGGTACAGGTAGGGGGTAGGGTCCTGGGGGGCAGTTAGGGTGGGGGGGGTCTTAGGAGGGGGCAGTTAGGGGACAAGGAACAGGGAGGCTTAGGTAGGGGGTGGGGTTCTGGAGGGCAGTTAGGAGCAGGGGTCCCAGGAGGGGGCAGTCAGAGGACAAGGAGCAGGGGGAGGGTGAGTCCCACACTGCTACACTACATACTAACAGCAGATGAGCCAGCTGCTGTGACAGTGTTGCATATTGGGCCTGATCCAGAGCCCATTGAAGCTGATGGACAGACTCCTGCAGACAGCTCTTTAAGCTAGCAAAATAAAAGGCATAAGGAGATCTGATGGTGGGAAGCTGAAGCTAGACAAATTCAGATTAGAAATAAGGTGCACATTTTTAAACAGTGAAGATAATTAACCAACAGAACAATTTACCCAGTGATGTGGTTTCTTCATCACTCCAAGTCTAAGTCAAGACTGGGTATCTTTCTACCAGATATGCTTTAGCTCAAAGAGAAGGTCTGAGCTTGATGCAGGAATTATTGGGTGAGGTTCTTTGGCTGTGTTATGCAGGAGGTCAGACCAAGTGATCCAAATAGTCCCATCTGTCCTTAAAAATCTATGAAACTCTGAATCTCTGACTTCAGTGGGCTATAGATCAGTCTCTCATAGAACCATTTTCTATTGCATGTTGGTACGTGCTTGTTTTAGGAGTAGATATAGATAGATAGATAGATAGATAGATAGATAGATAGATAGATAGATCTATCTCTATATCTATATCTATCTCTATATCTCTGAAAAAGTTAGCTTAATTATGTGATTTTTCTCAGATGTCTTACAAACATTAAGTAACTAACCCATTTGGTTTCTGAACAGACTGTGTGCTCTTAGCTGGACCGACACTATTGTTAGCGGAGCACCATCAGGTGCTTCACACCGAGAGTTGATCAAAATTGAGTTGGATCCTGCAATCCGTCCATGTGAGTCCCACTGACTTCGGTGGGAGCTCAGTGCGTGAA